GCATATTGTTCCTAAAAGGTATTATTTCATTAACTAAGTACTTAGTAGGTTGACAGACATTTCACATACACCCATTCTGAGTTGCTATGCAAAATCAGGTGGCACAAAACCAAACATTATGTGTTCATACACTCAAAAAAAGGTAAATCCACTAAGCAAGAAATAAATGCAATATATTATGAAGATAACTAGTTCCTTTTCAAAGAGGTGACTATAAGTGAGCTATAAGCAACAGGAGTGTTCTAGATTGGAGGAATTCTCTTGCTTCTCATATCTCACACAGGTTAGGTGTCATTAATCCCCTGGCTCTTGTTAAACATTACCAGGTAAACTTGATAGCCAGTGTTCCTAAGGCAGGGCTGCTGGAGTATTGAATCTAAATCACCAAAATAAAAGTGATTACACATTAACCATAGGTGAGTCCTTAGTGTTAATTTTGAACTACATTTTTGAATTATGTCATCCATCATTAAATGAAACACTGAGCCTCTGATTACGTACCCTTTACCTATGTGATTAGCAACAGTGGGTTTTTTTCCTCACTGAAGCAATACTACCCTATTTTGATACTTCTCCCAAGTATTTTACCATACCATATTGCCATCACTGTGACATTAGCAGAGCACAAGCACTCTTACTAGTCAAAGGTACCCAGGAAGCCTTAGCAGATATGCTACAAAATAGAAATGTACGTATGAGACAACACATTCCAAGTAGGTTTGTCATTCTGTGGCACTAATTTCCAACCACTTATCAACTGTAGAGCTGCTATTTGCATTTTGTACTCTATACAGGAAAGCCTTACAGCTGCCTGTGGCAACAAAGGAAATGCAAAACTTGTTGGAAGAAAATAAATAAAATAAAACCATTTCCTGCAGGACAATTCAAAATCTCACCTCATCATCCTGAGACATCAGGGATTCTGTGTTGCCTCTGTTTTTTATTAATAATGCAGCAACAGTCTTTCAACCACTCTTTCAGAAGAGGAGCTTTTCCTTCTGAGGCAATATGAGTCATGTGATTACCTCTCATCTGGAGTGAAAGGCTAAAAACTGATGGAGGTTCTTACTATCAACTATCCTATAATTTGGCACCCAGAGAAGCAGTAATAAATGAGTGTTTATCTACTCAATGGGGAATTTAATTTCACTCTCTGCCCCCAAAGTCATTACCTGCACAAGAGGAATGAGCAATGGAAATTCACAACATAATAAACTATTACAGGCTTACTGCTTAAATGGCATCTCAAAATCATTTTCTGCACCGGAAGCCATAAACAAACTATACTTCACAACACGAGAAGAGAAATTTGTTGATATGATGAAAGAAAAGGCATTTACATCTCCTAAGAGCAGAGAAGCATTTTATACTCCAGATAAACAATTTCTGTTGTTCTCAGTATTGTTTTCCTTGGTGAAAACAAAAACCTAAACATTAAATAGTCCTCATTTTTTTTTCTTAGAAACCATTTTAATGAAAGAGTATCACTAAACAAAATTTGTATGAGGTTTTCTGTCTAAATGAAAGTTGAAAGACATTTTCTATCTTGTTGAACAAAGCTTATGTACTCAAAAGGGTAAGTAATATGAAAATATTGTTTAATTAACTTGGTATACCATTTATGCTTAAGTATATTGCCAGTAAGCAAAGAAATAATACTTCTGGCATAATATCCAGTTAAAAGCATGTACAGAAACTTACTCTGAATAATTATTTTTTTCTAGAATTGGCAGCTTACTAAGGAAGAAATGAAAATATTTGTAAATCAAATAGCACTGAAAATGTTATCCAGTCAAAAGTCATATTTTTATTAATATTTTTTGTTAAGTGTATTGTGGTACCATTTTAAAATTAAGACATGAAAAGCTATCACGGTTCCAAGCAATACTTCTCCACTGCCTTAATCTTAAGAACTAGTTTCTCATCAGTATTATGCTTGTTGAAGCATGAAAAGTATAATATTTTGTGGTGGGGGGAAACAGTTTTCCCCCCTAGAGTTATAAAAGTGGTAACCCCCGAGGGGGTGGTGACCCTTTGGGGTCAAGCCAATGAGTGCTCCTGCAAAATATAAACATATCACACTTAGACCGGAAAAGAAAGGAGTTGGAGTTGTTGTTGGAGAAGAGGTGGCCATGTTGTGAAAGCCACGAGGAAGGGGCAGGAGCCCCTTGGGGGCTCTGCCCCCCCCCCCCAGCCCCTTGGCTGGGGGCTGCAAGGACTTGGAACAGTGTTAAACTGGGCCGAGTTCCGTAGCTGAGAGCTGGAGGAGTTTCCTCCACCATGGACAGCAGCAGAAGCAGCAGCGTATGGAGGGCAGAGAGCCAAGAGATAAGAAGAAGCTGCAGAGCCGACATGCAGCCGAGCAGAGTGACACAGAGTTGTCTGAAGGATGAAAGAGCAGCAGAGAGCAGGACTAAGCCACTACAGAGAGAGAGTTTTTGGGGTAAGAAACTGCAACCAAAACTCCCCGGAGACCCCTCTGAGAGAGAGGAGGATGATGGATTCTTACTTGAAAGAGTCTTGGAGTGCAGTATGCACTGCAGAGAGGAGCTAAGAAGCTCAGGCGTCCTGAGAGTTGAGCCAGGACAGCCAAAGGAATGCGGAGGGGGGTGATCTTGGCCCCTGCGCTGTACTGCCAAGCTGGCAGTCTTGATTCAGAGCATGGGAGCTCTGCAAGGGGCTTGACTCCCCTGAAGATAAGGACTGTTGCGAAGACCCCTGCGCTTTGTGATATGACCGTGGTGATGTGACCTTTGTCCTGGTGAACACAGCCCACAGAAGATAAGACCCTTTGCCTGTGTCGAAGGGCCGAGGGGCTTGGAGACCCTTTCATGTGTACTAGCAGAGATCCAGCCACAGCTGCTGCATGGAAGAGAGAAAGAGACACTGCTGCCCTAGAGAGACTTGCTGCTCAAAGAGAGAAGGGGATCTCTTCCTTCTTCCCTCCTGGACTTTTATTTGGAAGGGAGAAGTGATTTGATCCACTGTAAATACTGCTTTATCATAGTAGTGATAGTTAAGATTGTATATGATGTATTATACTATTTATTTGTACAGTGTATTGTAATATATCCCTTTCCCCCTATCTTGTGTGGTGTCTGGAAAACCCATCTCACACTGGGTTGAGATGTGGGAGGGGGGCTAGAACTAGGGAATTGGATTTTGGGGCTCTCAAACCATGACATATTTTTTTCCCTTTTTCACATTTGGTGGAGATATTTCAGTATAGAAATCTAGCATTATCTACTCCATTACTGATATCACTGAAGTAACTGTGTAGTCATCCTGTGATCCTATGCAAGAAAACACAGCAAGAACATTAGGTAGTCATTAAGGGAGCAACAGAAGCCACTTACATAAATTACGGTACAGTAATTAAAAAGAATATAAGGAGATGTTTGAAGCTTAAGCTTCTTTGTTCTTTAAGCCTTGAAAGCGTTACCTGCCCAAAACTTGGGAAAAAGACCACAAGGTAACTCCTTTTTAAGCTTAAGTGAACGAGTCAGTGTTTCTGTGTTTTCTAAAAAAAATTAATTTTTTTAAGCAGCTAAAATGGTATCTGCTGTTTCTTACCACTTTATAGTGACTGGACCAAGTAACTCCTTTAATGTTAAAACAGGCAAACATTATCTACATGCTTTTTTATTTGTTTGGTTTTTTAAGGCACAGAGGAAACTCAAAGTGAGAAGTACATAATCCCTTCTCCAACAAAGGAAAGGAATTTCTTCTGAGAAAGTTTGGTTTAATGAAAACACTGCTTCCTTTCCTAAAACCTACCAACATGATAATTGACACATTTTAATTTTTCTCCATCTATAAGAAGTTAAAGTCCACTGAAAGGAACAGGCAGCTTCAGAAAATTTACAATGGGAATCAAGTCCTCATCCCAGAGGGAAGAAGGAAGAGTCCCATAGGTTCCACCAATCTGGCTGCTTGCAGTTACCGTGGAAGATTCAGACGCTGGACTTTTCCAGTCCTGTGTTCAGTTCAGAATAGCAACAATCAAATTATTTGACATTATTCAAATTATTTCTCAGGCAATAAAATAAGTTAATTAGATGTTTCTCTCCATGTATCAGCAGATAGTTTTCTCCACTGTGATGTTAACAGTTGGCATTTTCAGCAGAGGACTGAAAAAAATGAACAACCTTTCTGTGCAAAGCTCAGGGTGTTCCCACAACATCAGCCTTTGTTTTCTGACTGTATAATGTGGAAATCTTTTTTTTTTCACTTTTCGTGCATATTTGTTTGACTAAAAGACTAGTGAATTTCAGTCTCTAGCTCCAAAGTATGCACTTTCCACTGACAATAAAATTTTAAAAGCTTCAGTTTGCACCTGAGCATAATTGTGATAGCTTAGAAACTATAAAATAGCATAGTCAAGAAAAACATCAGAAGTGCTTATGAAGCCTGGCTTATATTTTATGAGAACTTGACTAATTTTTTACTAAAATTTTATTTTTACCAATTACTGACGTGTGATTTCATATTATATTTATGCTTAACATCAGCATTCTCTCTCTGTGCTCTGCAGTATTGACTATCTGAAATGGGACATTTACTAAGAAGTCATCAGAAAGGCTGATCCTGGGAGATACAGGAAGATGCAGTAGAAAGCCGGAGAAAGCAGGATAGATCAGACCTTTATCTTTGTTGCTGACCCTGAAGATTTACTCTTGCTTTAAGACTCCAAAGAAGAGCAAAAAGAGTAGAAAAAACCCCAAAACTCTGATGTAATTGTCTTAATAATTATTTCAAGACACACTAATTAATCGTGCTCTGCCAAGAGTGAGAAGCAGACAACCTAAAATTCCAAAATCTTCAAATTAACTACGGGAATCAGAAGGCTGCATGCATTACAGACGGCAAGCATTGACATTTATTTCGTATAATGGTGCATGTCTTGAGAATAATTGCCACTGGAATATTATCCCCACTCAACATGTCAAACATTAATATAAAATCAATATGGAGCCACATTCCCAACATTTTTCACGCACCTGTGTTACGCCCCCCTGAAGGGTTTTGCCACACTCAGCACTGGGCTCCCCTGAGACACGGGAAGAGTTCACTGCAGTCCTCCTGCTCCGCACAACCTTGCTGCCCAGGGGGTCAACAATGGCTCAGCAAGACCCTGACATCTGTGGACAGAAAGTGCAAGGTGAGACAAAGATGATTTCTGCTAACTTTGCTGCTCTGTCAGCAAGTCCTGAGAAATAGGAAGCATAAAGGTTGTTTTCCACAATATAGATGACATCCTTGTTTGAAATGATACTGTTGGAGTTGCTTTGTGACAAGCCCAGTCTTAAGACATGACAGAAATAAACTGACAAGAACAGCCATCCTGCCAAATACACTTAGACTCACACAAAAGCTGGATTTGATAGATCCCAAATTTTATTTTTTCCCCAAAAACATAGTTCTCTTTTGAGCTCATTATAAATTAAGTTTCTCTTCATTTTAGATCTAAACTAGGTCTTTAATAGGCTCTGCACTTCAGTTTACCTCATAATGAGACATCACAAAAAAACAGAGTTAATCAAAAGTATCAAAATTACGAGGGAAGAAAACCCCAGAAAACCACATCACACTACTGTTTTCTTCCAACAGGCTGTAGCAGATCTCCCTCCTTGTTTACACTCTCATGGAACACTGCTCAGGCAGCTGTTTCTCAGCTAAACATCCCAAACTTGCCAGTCTCAGAGGAGCTTCATTTCCCCAGACAATGTGCATCCCTGTGAGTCATTAGCACCTTTCAAACCCAGATTTGAGAAGATTCCTATATACATTAAAAGGTACTTGAGTTATAAGGGCACAGTTCTAACATATTTCTTCTGGATCAGGTATTTGTACATAAACCTGTATATAGTCAGTATGTGTATATATGTATATAGTCAGAAAACTACAACAGTTGATCATCCTCAATTGAAATTACACCAGCTAAGGCCACTATCTACTCCTTGTTGCTAATGTAACAAATCAGTTCTCCCAAATATGGTGATTCTAGTGCTCAGAAATACACTTGAATTCCCATCTGGATCTTGTTCCTGGATATTTTGCTTTATGGAATGGAGCTCAGTTATTCCTTTCCTTTTTCTCCCCTCAAGATTCCAAAGCTCGAGGCAAGCATTTTGCTGAGGCCCATGGAAAAAAATCACTGCTAATTTCCATGACACAGATGGGAAAAAGATCATAACCACAGCTCCTCACCATTACTGTCTGGAAAAGATACTACATTCAGTTATCACTGTCAGGATATTAGACATTATCTAGTCAAATAAGATCAGGGAGGGGACTATTCAGAAAAGCAGTTCCTGCACACCTCGTTACTGAAGATGAGGAGGCAAACACAACCCCAGTATCATGGGAAGGACATGTGGCAATTTCTACTGCTTCTTCAAGAAATCCACATCACTTTACTGCTAAAACTCAAAGCCAAAAAAAGTTATTATCCTGGACCAACATATTTGTCTATTTTTTATAACAAGATTTTCAGAAGAAAAGAAATCTCTGTGGAAAGATGACAGCATGTTTGGTCTCATCTGTGAGTGCATACTGGCAGCAGATCCTCTATGGGGTTGCCAAATGAATTCACAAACTTGTGAGAGCCCATGTAGCTTGTTGCCTTCAGTTTCATAACACAACAGCTTTTACAATCAAGACCCCTACAAACAAACTAAGAAAGCCTAAGGCAAGGTTTGAACCTACCGAATTTGTGGTGTTGAGTCATAATACATGATGCAAAGTCATCTAAAACATGATACCATGCATCCACTTCCTTATCACGTGAGATCTTTTCTGGTTTAACCAATGCTTGCGATGTTTCTGAAACCAGATTGCAACTTTTCAAAGATTTGAGAGTATCTTATGAATCAGCACACAGACAAGTCTTTCCACCAACCACCGACATGCAGTTTTGCTCAGGATGGCTCATAGAAGAGGGTGGGTGTAAGTTATGGACCTACGACTATACAGGAGTTTGGTCAAAACCCCTTACCATTACAAAAAGAGCCACAGTGTCTTTTGTAATCAAGAGAATCCTGGATTACAGGTGCTTATGATAACAACCTCCATAGAAAAAATCTCACCAGAGCCCATGTTATAGGCTTTATAATGGTGAAAGACCAAATAATCCCATCTTGGAATCAAACCCATGGTTGAAGACTATACAAACATATCAAAAATCAATGCTTGGATGCAATTCTCCTTCAAAGGTCAACTTGTGAATGTAGCCTGCTGAAACACAGGCTTCCACACAGTGCTTTTAAAAAAACATGGTCAGAAAATGGAATATCTCCAGCAAAAATTACTCTATAATGAAAATAGGACATTTATATAGATATATGCAACATTTAATTAAGAAAAATAATCACCACATCTTTATATCAGCCAAGGGTTTCAAAGTGATCAAAACTCCCCATCTAAACCCTATTTATCCTGAGCTGAGCAGTTAGCTTTTTCTTACTCCTGACTAAGAGGCATCGGAATTCCTCCGCAGTTTATCGAAAATATCATTTGTCTATGTACTGGTACCTATGTGAGTAAAAGAAAGCTATTGAAACAATTCAGCTAGTGTTAACTGGCTACAACACAAAATTTTTTTGTCATGCATGAACAACAAATTATTCTTCTATCCCAATAAACAAGAAATACAAACTGTGGAAACAATTCCTCCAGTGTCATGGAATATGCATTAAAAGGTTCAACAAAAGTTATTACCTCAGATTGTACTTCTACTATTGCATTATTGATGAGCTACTTCTATCAGCATTTGTACTTCAGTTACCAGAAATTAAAGCAAATACTAAATGTCTAAATACAGCATGTCCAGAAAAAATACAATTGTTCATAGGCTCCAGGATTCCCTGCAGTCCCAAAGGGATTTTCAGAACCTCACAGGTATCTTCAGGTCCTATAATTTGCATTCTGCTTCTCAGCTCAGCTTGCAGATGTTTAAAAATACATGTAACAAGACAATTCACTTTTGGCTACACATCTGAGAGGTTCAAACATCTGAATTATTCCCTCTGAGGTCAACTACAATTTATGTGCCAAATTAGGTTGAAATCGAGCTGGGAAGAGCTGTGAAATACTAAGATCTCTGGTGCTTGGGAACTTGTGGTTATTTATGACCAATGCACATACTCTCTGATCTTCTTACAGGAAAAGGAGATATTTTCAGGAAACAAATATGAAATTTAAGCTTACAACTTATGAATCTGTAGGCTTCAATCATTTAAATTTTGCTATGCAAACAGATATAAAATGTGGATTAAAATAGCAAAATTTCATAAGTGTTCATTGCTTTTTGGAATTCTAGAAGACAAAGGATGCACATGGCATCATATGCATTTGCATGCCAACAAGATTTGCAATAAAGATAAAATCTATATCACTATACCCTTTAATATAACCAGAAAATATTTTCCAGGAGCTCAGGATCAAGGTATCTAAGAGATATATATATCTAAGTGGTATAATTCCACCAAAATGTTCTTATACTGCATAGATGCAGCATTAATTATATATATATGTTTTAATATAATCCAGTTAGTTACCGAGAGAACTAATGTTCATCCAAAAATGTATGGACTATTTTTTGCACAATTCAGAATTGTGAACTAGTAACTCAAGTGACTCTTACTATTCATACTCTAAAATCATTTCCCACAAATTTCTGAATGATGGATGATATTTCCTATAACTATCTCCTGCAACATTTCAACACAATTAAGGTAGAGCTAAACAGAACTCAAGTGATTCTCCTCTTCAGGGATTCATGTTTAAGTTGATTCCCAACCCCCAGTCTAAAACCAACCTTTGCTTTCTCTTCTCTTGGAACAGATAACACCAATATTTAAACTACTCTTGGGAAAGGACAACTTAAAACAGAATTATCCACAAAAATGCTAATGACATTAGCATTTTTTTCTTTACTACATATACTAAATTTCAAAGCCCGAGTAGGGATTTTAAGAATCTAAAGTAGTTATCAGCCTTTAGCACTGTTAATCTCTCTCCCACTCACCTCAGCCCATTCCCATCAGCCTCCCAGTCTTATCTCTACTTTTTCCAGGAACAGAGAATAGAAAAATGGAAGAACAGTGGGGAATGGGTCAAGATGCACTTGTAGATATTTCTTTTAGTACTGAAGAACTCAATAGCACAATTCTCTACGTGCCAGCCACATTTTCAGAAATAATCAGCATACTACCATAAATCTGGAATGAAAGCCTCAAATATGCTTTAACGAACTGATTCCAAAAATTTTCAAGATTTCCATCTATCTAGAAGCTACAGAAAAAAATCATTAGTGTAAGAAGTGATCTCTAGTACTTTTAATTCCCTATTTATCTGAAATCAAACATTAAAAAGATTTTATTCAACCAAAGTCCTCTATCTTAACCAGTATATGAAATTAAAAACAGAAAAAAAATCCTTTGCAGGGAGAGAAAGAGAGTCAGAATCTACTAAATCTATCTTGTTTGACACAAAATTACATGTGTGTAAAAATCTAGCTTGTCTTAGCACAAAATTAAGCTGCTTATGGTATAGTTTTAAGGAACACAAACCATCACAATAGAAATAGAGAACACTACAGCATGGAGTTTCAGAAATATGAATGTGAAACCTCAGTTGGATCCATTCTGTAAGCTCAGAGTGCAATGATAATTATGTAATTCCATTCCTACACAAGACTTAGAGCTGCACGAAATGTAGAATACACTACAAAAGATCCAACTTCCCTGATCACTACAGGTTCCCAATGACCACCTGTGCACTGCCTCCTTACGCAAATCAGAGCAAAGCCTGGATGATATCGTTTGAAAATTTATTTTCAGTACAACCTTTAAAAAATGCAGAACTATACACTGAAATAAGCATCTCCTATTTCAGGAGGAAAAAAATCCAAGGCCCCTAACCTGCAAGAATAGTCGTGCAGGTACCCTGAATGCTGTCCTTGACCATGGCTCAGAGCAGACAGTTAAGGAAGAGTATAACTCTACAACATATTCCTCCTACTTTCTGGTTAAATTGGAGATTTAAACTTAACTTGAATGAGCAGAATACATCAGGACAGTTAGATTTTATAGTCACCGTGACATCTACCCTCCATGAATCTCCCTAATTCCATTTTGAA